AAGATGGGAAAGCCTATATATAACTCTCTTTATGTACAGTTGTCTATCCTGTCAGTGTATTTAATGTTTGCCATATCTGTGTTCTGTGATCTGCTCCGAGTCCCCTTCAGGGTGAGAAGGACAGAATAGGAATAATGCAAATAATAAACAAATGGGCCAAGGGTTGACTCAGTCGAAGGCAGTCCCTCGTGTCGCTATGCATCTATAAGCATTCAGGGCAAAGGGATCTAAAATGCAAGCGTTGCCACCTATGGAGGCTCTTCATTCAGTCAGATGATCAGGAAACAAGTCTCAGTTCATGTGACTCAGATATTGCTCTATCTCCATGGTTTCTGCACAGCAGGCACCCGATCTGTTTCTAAGTCAATGTCAAAGAAGTGCTGCTGCTGAGCAAGTGGAGGGAAGGTTGTCAAAGCCTACGAAAGGTGAGATGATAGTCATCTCTAAATACCAGCAGCGGGGTCATGTGAAGGATCCATGCGGGGATATGAGAAAAGCCTCCCACAGGATGGTAACACATCTGGGCTTCCCTTGGGCAACATCCCTGCAGATGGCCAATTTTCTCACACCAGGACTGCTGACCAAAAGGTCAGCGGTTGGAATCCAGGGAGCAGAGTGAGCTCCTGTCTGTCAGCTCTAGCTTCCCATGCAGGGACATGAGAGAAGCCTCCCACAGGATGGTAACGCATCCAGGCGTCCCCTGGGCAACATCCTTGCAGACGGCCAATTCTCTCACACCAAGACTGCTGATTGAAAGGTCAGCGGTTCGAATCTGGGGAGTGGGGTGAGATCCTGTTTTTCAGCTCCAGCATCTCATGCAGGGTCATGAGAGAAGCCTCCCACTGGATGGTAAAACATCTGGGCGTCCCCTGGCAACGTAACCCCACTGGATGGTAAAACATCCAGGCTTCCCCTGGGCAACGTCCTTGCAGACGGCCAATTCTCTCACACGAGAAATACTGCTGACCAAAAGGTCGGCAGTTTGAATCCAGGGAGTGGGGTGAGCTTATGTCTGTCAGCTCCAGCTTCTCATGTGGGGACATGAGGGAAGCCTCCCACAGGATGGTAACACATATGGGCTTCTCTTGGGCAACATCCCTACAGATGGCCAATTTTCTCACACCAGGACTGCTGACCAAAAGCTCGGCTGCTTGAATCCAGGGAGCAGAGTGAGCTCCTGTCTGTCAGCAGTAGTTTACCCATGCAGGGACATGCGAGAAGCCTCCCACAGGATGGTAACACATATGTGCTTCCCCTGGGCAACATCCCTGCAGACTGCCAATTCTCTCAGATCAGAAGGACTGCCGACCAAAAGGTTGGCTGTTCGAATCCAGAGAGTGGGGTGAGTTCTGCTCTGTCAGCTCCAGCTTCTCATGTGAGGACATAAGAAAAGCCTCGCACAGGATGGTAAAATATCCAGGCCTCCCCTGGGCAACGTCTTTGCAGACAGCCAATTCTCTCACATCAGAAGCGACTTGCAGTTTCTCGAAGAAATATGTGAAAGTTAGTAAAAGAGACACCCGAAACAAGACTCGCCAACCAACACTTTCCAGAGGGCTTTATTTCCAGAGAGCATTTCATCCTTTGCACCAGCCCCCGAGCAGCACCAATGTGCAAAGTCTCATCATCCCCTATGCGACAGGTATAGGTACGAATGCATGCATAGGAGGCAGGGGTAGGTCGGAGGCAAAGTGGAACAGCCTTTCTATGGCTTGACAAAAATACTGCGGGAAGAAGGACAAGACGAAAGACAGAGTTGAAGGGGAGTGAGGTTCACCAAGGGCTGGGAAACTACGCAAAGGGGAAAGGAGTAGCGTGGCCGATCCCGGACCCTTTTCCCATCAACTCTCCAGCATTTCAACCCAAAACAGGAAAAATAAATTATAACACATCTCACCCTGTGGCACAAGGTGGTTTTGGGCAGGACGGGGTGAGGTGGACCTGGCAATGGTGCATCCACAGCCCAAATGAGGAGGAAATGGGTTAATTATGTCACGTCACAACACTGATCAAATGGGCAAGCCTTCAGAAGAGCTTCCCACCTTGGAAAAAGAGAAATATTTTTTTTTTGGGAATTGAGGAAATGAACTGAATTTATTGCTAGTTTCCTTGGGATAATCGTATCTCTAGAAACAGAGGCTTGTTTTCCAAACTAAAAACATGACAAAGCTTCGAATTCATGCTTAGTGAGAGGGAAGGGTTGAATGAAAAGCAATGCCTCCACCTTCGTAACTCCGCAACAGATGGCAGTACTGGTATGCGGCAGGTACTGGCTTGTTCAGTAGACTCTCCGTTACAGTTCCATTTTGGCAGGAAGCCTTAGCATTGAACAGTTGTGTTGTTAAAGTGAAAAGTAATGCCTCCACCTTTGTAACTCCTCAACAGATGGCAGTACTGGTATGTGGCAGGTACTGGCTAGTTCAGTAGACTCTCCTCTACAGTTCCATTTTGGCAGGAAGCCTTAGCATTGAACGGTTGTGTTGTTAAAGTGAAAAGTAATGCCTCCACCTTCGTAACTCCTCAACAGATGGCAGTACTGGTATGCAGCAGTTACTGGCTTGTTCAGTAGACTCTCTTCTACAGTTCCTTAGCATTGAATGGTTGTGTTGTTAAAATGTATGGAACCCTACACAGATGGTTGGTCAATGCAACTTAAGCAAAATGCAGTCATTGAATTCATGAGAGCAGAAGGTGTCACCCCAAAGGAGATTCATCAGAGAATGCAAGCTGTTTATGGGGATTGTGTTGATGAGAGTACTGTGCGTCGTTGGGCGAGTAAGTTTCAAGATGTGTGAGGTGGGAACATCTGACTTGCGTGACAAACAAGGAGTTGGGCATCCTGTGACAGCAACCACCAAGTTTCACAAGCAAAAAGTTGACAGATTGATTCAGGACGATCATTGTATCACTCAGAGAGAAATTTCAAGCATAATCGGTATTTCACAAGAATGTGTGGGTCACGTTATTGCTTTGCTTGGAAGATCTGTGCACGATGGGTACCCGAAACAAGAGTGTCGACTTCTTCCGTGATGGCTTCAAAAACTTGTTCATTGTTGGCAGAGATGTATCCGATTGTCTGGTGATTATGTGGAAAAGTAAATAGTGGTAGTTAAAGAGCACATTCTAAGGATTATTTCTGCGTTTGATTTATTAAAATACTCCCACCCAAACCCAAGTAACGAAGGTGGAGGCATTACTTTTCATTCAGCCCTCATAATTTCCATCGCTTCGACGTCTTAATAACCACATGGCCCTGGAAATGCTGTGCCAATTGGGAGGTCTTCAAACTTGTTCTTCTACGCAAGTGTCCCTGTCCCAAAGACAAGGGAACGGGCCAAATTAAGTTGCAGCTTCAATGTATGTTTTCTGGAATACTTCAGCAGCGCAGCCCATCTATATGCCTTTCTGGAAGTACGGTGAAAAGTCATGTCACTACAAGAGATGAAGCACATGGAATATCAAAGGAACTGAAGGCTTCTGGCAAGTCAGGACATATAGAAAAATAATTCCAGTGACTCAATAATTTGGGATTTGGTTAAGAGTGCCTGCAGCTCCCCAAAACTGCTTCTCTTTGAGGAAGGTGACAGTGTTGTCTGCAATGGCCACAAGAAAGAAAGACCTCGCAAAGACCTCGCTACCTAAAGTCTTGTGTTTACCCTGTTCCCATCCCTGAATCAGTTTCCAGATTTTAAAAGACCACCGTCTGTGCTGAGCTGACATACGAGGGGCGTCCATTAAAGATTTCCCCTGACCCACTTCTATTGATCACAGGACTCTGAAACTGCACATGTGTCAAGATATAAGTCCCTATAGCTTACATGCCAATTGACAACTCAGAACTGAGAACGGTCTTGATTTGACAGGTTCTGAAGTGGAGTGAGATCTGAAAATGGACCCAGCGGAGTACAGAGCAGTCCTCAAGTTCCTTTACTCGAAAGTCCGCACACCAAAGGAGACGTTCAATGAGATGAAAGAGGTTGAAGGTGAGGATTCCCCATCACAGGATGGACGACAGAGCAGTCAAGTTCCTTTACTCGAAAGTCTGCACACCACAGAAGACGTTCAATGAGATGGAAGAAGCTGATGGTGAAGATTCCCCATCATAGGATGGAAGACAGAGCAGTCCTCAAGTTCCTTTCTTCGAAAGGCCGCACACCACAGAAGACGTTCGATGAGATGGGCGACGCCATTCTGCTCTTGATAAGCACACCATCCAGCAAGTGGGGGGCACCATTTTGGAAAATTGCCATGTAACCATTCACCACTTAGCCCAAAATGTCAAGATGAGTGTGGAGTCCATGGAAAATATCACCCAAGACCGTCTTCACATGCGTAAGGTATCCGCTCGCTGGGTCCCCCGGCTGCTCACACCTTTCCAGAAGCAGGAACGAGTCGAATGCTCTCAGGCCCTCTTGACAATGATGTGCCATGGAAACCATGACTGCTCACACAGGATGAAAGATGGGTCCATCGCTCTAATCCTGAGACTCAAGTCCAGTTGATACAAAGGAAGCATCCTGACTCACCACCTCCAAAGAAGACCCGTGCCCAACTCTCGGCAGGCAAGGTCACACTCACAGGATTTTGGGACCAGCACGGAGTAATATGGATGGGTTTCCTAGCAAAGGGGACCAGGATCACTGGGGCAGACTAGGCTTCACTGCTGCAGACATTCAAACCAAGAGACAATGTGGCATGCTCGCCAAAGGTAAGCAAGATAATGCACAAGGTCACAACTCCCCTGTTGTCCAAATGGAAGAAGCATGCTCCTCTGGCTTTGACATTCTCCCGCATCCCCCTTCTTTTCTCAAACTCGCATCATCTGGCTTCCACCTCTTTCCAACAAGGAAGCTATTTTGGAAGGACAAGCATTTTTCAGACGAGGCCAACATGGCTTTTGGAGCAACCTGTCAGCTTGCACAAGCAAGGTGTGTAAAGAGGGGAGAAGTGTGTGTCCCGAGGTGGCACCCATGGAAAGAAGGACTCAGAACTGGGCCAAGTTTCCACAGGAAGTGGGTCAGGGGAAAGCTTTAATGAACGCCCCTCGTATCCATGCCACACAACTAAAGGCCGAGGCCTTGGAGGAGGTGTGAAAGAGCTGCCTGTTTCCATTGAGATCACAATTCTACACAAAAGGAAGGCTCCTGACCATCTCTTCTGCGTCTGGACAGGCTTCAGTAAAAGCCAACATGTCTTTGAGCAGTGGTTCTCAACCTTCCGAATGCCCCGACCCTTTAATGCAGTTCCTCATGTTGTGGTGACCCCCCCCCCCAACCACAACATTATTTTTGTTGCAACTTCATAACTGTAAATTTGCTAATGTTATGAATCATAATGCAAATATCTGATACATAGGATGTATTTTCATTCACTGGACCAAATTTAGTACAAATACCCGATATGGCCAAATTTGAATACAGGTGGGGTTGAGGGGGAGATTGATTTTGTCATTTGGGAGTTATAGTTGCTGGGATTTATGGTTCACTTAAATTAAAAGAGCATTCTGAACTCCACCAATGATTTGGCACACACAACTCTCATGACCAACAGAAAATACTGGAAGGGTTTGGTGAGCATTGACCTTGAGTTTGGGAACTGTAGTTCACCTACATCCAGAGGGCACTTTGGACTCAAACAGTGATAGATCTGGACCACACTTGGCACGAATACTCCATATGCCCAAATGTGAACACTGGTGGAGTTTGGGGAAAATAGACCTTGACATTTGGGAGTTGTAGGTGCTGGAATTTATAGTTCACCTGCAATCAAAGAGCATTCTGAAGCCCACCAATGATACAATTTGGCCAAACTTCCCACACAGAACCCCCATGACCAACAGAATATACTATTTTCTGATGGTCTTTGGGGACCCCTCTGAAACCCCCCTCACAATCCCCCCCAGGGGTCCCGACCCCCAGGTTGAGAAACACTGTCTTAGAGCATCAATCCCTCAAAAAGAGTTGGGAGAGGAAAGAAGCAGAGAAGTGGAAGCGCCGGTCACAGCGGGGACTTTGCAGCCAATAGTTTTGTTTTGAAAGCGAGCAAGCATGTAATAAATACGGCAAAACGTCTCCCCGTCCCAAGACAAAATGGGAAAGAGGCCCCTAAATATGTCAGACTCCCTCTTCTCTATCCCGCCCACTCCCCGCCCCGATTTTGAGCCAAGAAAACACTGATGTCAGCAGAACACCTGAGAGCCACTCATTCGGGAAACGGCCGACGCGGTTCCGCTTCCAAGCCTCTCTCCGAAAAAACAAAAAACAAACCACACACACCAGCATGACCTAAAAAAGCACCAGAGCTTGAAGGCTTCCAGAAGCAGGGTGTCAGCAACAATTCTTAAAAACACAAAATTAAGAATCAGGGGTGTGGAGTGCTTCCACGAGTCAAGTTTCCTCGCTTTAGCCTGCCAATCCGAGTCTCGTTCTTTTTTCCTTTGCAGCCAATCACAAATGTACTTCCAGCGTTGTCCTGGATTAACGCAGAACCGGCACGAGGGGACACAGAAACGGATGGCTGCGGACAGCGTTCGGAAAGATGGGCAAGAGGGAGGTTGAAGTCGGGGTAGTAGGGGAGGCGATCACAGGACAACACAAAAACCGAGGAGGGCAAGGGGACTCATGAGGGTCCAGCCATCTTCCGTGATCTCCCAGAGCCTCGTTTGCCCCGCTCCGGCCATTTATTGCTCAAGCAGCCCATCCAAGTTACTGCCTTCTATCTTCGGTCTCTGATCTGGAAAACGCCATCACCCCATCTTCAGCACCTAGAGCACACAAGGGGGCAAAAACAAGGGATCAGTATGACTGGACACAGTCTTTGTACTTATTTACACCTGGAATGCGGAACATGTGGCCTTTGGGTTCGGCATGTAAAGTAGATCCTTGCTACCTGGCATTTTAAAAACTCCAGTTCAATATTTTTGCTGGAGATTTTTGTGGTGTCGTAAATTAGTTAAATTAGCCTCCCTGCCTAACCGGTATCTAAATTTCCTACTTGACAGATGCAACTGTCTTTCAGGCTGCAAAGGTCAACAGCAAGCTAGACAAATGATCAGCTTTGAACTCATTATCTTTCAACCAGTAGTGATTTTAATGCAGCTGACTCCCTACCAGCTGTGCCAAAACATGCGTTTGGTCTCCCGCATGTGTTATGGAGGAAGCGGCCAATGCGCCCACATCCTCAGATCCCTGAACAACAGCCTTTGGATCCGATTTAAGACGCAGCCCATGTTCCTGGAGTCTCCGCCCACGCATCTGCGGATGTTTGGTTAAGTGTGCAATTGATCTTCCCTTTTTCAGAAAGATCTTGGCCATTTAAGTACAACCGACAACACGAAGTGTTTCCTCCCTCCTCCGAGGCCCCACATCAACTAATTAGGGCTTGTGTGAACCGATTATTCCTTTTAATAAGGCTTTCTTTGAAGCCTCTTGGCTGAAAGGATTAGACGGCAGAGGCAACCGTTCCAAAGGCAACACACAAAACATGGCCTTTCCTCCAAAAACATACCACGCTTGAGATTAAATCACCCCTTCCAGCTCCAAATCAGGCCACTATCTTTGGGCAAGAGGGTTCAAAGCACCTCACAGCAGAGACGATTGAGATCACATCAAAGGGACCACTGTGTTGTGTCGAGTAATAGGCCCACCACAGTCGGCAAAAATGTACAACTAGGGTTGGAAAAGCTCAAGGGAAAGGGCTGCCAAGAAGAACAACAAAAATGGATAGTAAAGCCATAAAACAAAGATAAAACGGGGTGCCAGGGCGGCCCACTCCTTTTATCCCATGAGGAAATTTCTGGGCTGTTTCTGAGACTCCGAGAACTCTTGGCTGGCCTCTCAGCCAAGGGGAGGGCTGTTTCTGAAACACGAAGAGGTGAGAGGTTGAAAGATCATGAGGTGGGGAGAGCAGGCGTGGTGTGCGTATGCGGCCGAGGAAGAGCATGCGAGGCTGGAGGGAGGTGCATGCCACCGTGTCCCTTCAAGGAATAGCCCTCCTCTGCTGTGATTGGCTGGCCGCTCAGCCAAGGGGAGGGCTGTTTCTGAGAATTCAAGCAGGGAGGGGAGAGCAGGCGTGGTGCGCAAGTGTGGCCGAGGGAGAGCGTGTGAGGCTGGAAGGAGGTGCATGCCAGTGTGTCCCTTCAAGGCATAGTCGTCTCCTCTGCTGTGATTGGCTGGCCTCTCAGCCAAGGGGAGGGATGTTTCTAAGTCTTCAGGCGGGAGAGGGGAGAGCAGGCGTGGTGTGCATGTGCGGCCGAGGGAGAGCGTGCGAGGCTGGAGGGAGGTGCACACCAGTGTGTCCCTTCAAGGCACAGCCCCCCCCCCGCTGTGATTGGCTGGCCTCCCAGCCAAGGGGAGGGCTGTTTCTGAGAATTCAAGCGGGAGAGGGGAGAGCAGGCATGGTGCCCATGTGCAGCTGAGCGAGAGCATGCGAGGCTGGAGGGAGGTGCGTGCCAGTGCGTCCCTTCAAGGCATAGCCTCTCAGCCAAGGGGAGGGCTGTTTCTGATACTCTAAGCGGGGAGGGGAGGCATGGGAGGGGAAGCATGGGGGATCTGTGTGGGAAGTTTGGCCCAATTCTATCATTGGTGGGGTTCAGAATGCTCTTTGACTGTAGGTGAACTATCAATTCCAGCAACTACAACTCCCAAATGTCAATGTCTATTTTTCCAAAACCCCACCAGTGTTCATGTTTTGGCGTAATGAGTATTCATGCCAAATTTGGTCCAGATCTATCATTGTTCGAGTCCACAGTGATCTCTGGATGTAGGTGACCTACAATTCCCAAACTCAAGGTCAATGCCCACCAAACCCTTCCAGTATTTTCTGTTAGCCATGGGAGTTCTGTGTGCCAAGTTTGGTTCAATTCCATCGTTGGTGGGGTTCAGAATAATCTTTGAACTTTGGGATTTGAAATAATAATAATAATAATAATAATAATAATAATAACTGGAGTGTGGTGGAGGCTCCTTCTTTGGCAGTTTTTAAACAGTGGCTAGATGGCCATCTGTCAGGGGTGATTTGAATGCAATATTCCTGCTTCTTGGCAGGGGGTTGGTCTGGATGGCCCAGGAGGTCTATTCCAACTCTATGATTCTACGATTCTATAATAATAATAATAATAATAATAATAATAATAATCTTCATTTATACCCCGCCACTATCCCTCCGAAGGGGTCTCAGGGCCCAAAACATACAATGCAGCAAAATAAAATGCAAAACAGAAAAGTTACATCACAACAAAATACATAAAGTAACAAAATAAAAACTATATTAATACACAGTATCCTTCACAAGCCTTGTCTTCCGATATCAGATTTGAAATGTCTTTTTGGAGATCTGGCTGCAAGTGTATTGTTCCGACACCTTGTCGCCTATGTGTTTATTTTCCTGATGGACCCATCCACTGTGGTTTTACTCCTGATTCCCATCAAATGCGCCTGAGTCTTAAGATCTTGAGTTTAATTTAGAACTTGGACACTGATCTTAAAAGACACAGAAAAGTCCTTTTCATCGGGACGTTCTGCCGATCGAATGTCAATCTTCGCGGAACACTTGGAAGATTGCTGCCTTGGCTTTACTTTCCTTAAATCTTTCTTTTTCGAAGCTGCGGCACTCAATTTCTCTCAACACCCTAAGCTTCTTAACTTTGCTAAACCTTCAATAATGTTGATTCAGAGAGCCGAATCTGCCAGATCTGGGTTTATTTTCAATTGGAAAGATGGAAGTTGAAGGGATGGGTTTCTCATTGTTCATCATTTGACTTTTGCTGTCGCACTGTTGCACAGGTTGCTGTTTCCCTCAACTTGGTGCCCTCCAAATGTCCAGATATCAGTCACCATCACTCCTATGTGATTAGAAGTATTTTATTTATAATGTCAGAAACAAATTGAGGGTACAGTTGTAATGTATTCAAAAACACAAATAAATTAAAAAACCTGGCATTATACTAAATGTCCTTTGACATGTCCAGCTGGTTTTCCCTGTTATAAGCAGTAAGAGCACCTCAAGCTTTGGAGAGCTTCTGTTCAACCATTTCAAAGCTCCCTGCTTGAACGGTGATGTCATGATGGCATGATCGTCAGCATAGATGAAACTGTCCCTTCTGGTGGTGGCTGATCGATCATTTGTGTAAATGTTAAACATTGATGGAGCAAGCACCTAAACCCATGGAGAACTATGCGACCATTTCAAAGCTCCCTGTTTGGGTGATGATGACACGATCATCGGCATAGATGAAACTCTTTGCCTTTTCTGGCAGTTTGTTGGTCATTTGCGTAAATGTTAAACATTGATGGAGCAAGCTGGTTTTCCTTGTAATAGGTAGTAAGAGCACCTAAAGCTTCAAAGAGGTTCTGTTCACCCATCTCAAAGCTCCCTGCTTGAGCAGTGATGGCGCGATCGTCAGCATAGATGAAACTCTCTGTCTCTTCTGGCCGTGGCTGGTCATTTGTGTAAATGTTAAACATTGACAGTGTAACCTGGTTTTCCCTGTAATAAGCAGTAAGAGCACCTCAAGCTTCGGAGAGCTTCTGTTCAACCATTTCAAAGCTCACTGATTGGGCATTGATGGCACAATTGTCGGCATAGATGAAAAACTCTGTCCCTTCTAGCAGTGGCTGGCCATTTGTGTAACTGTTAAACATTGATGGTGCAAGCTAGTTTTCCCTGTAACAGGCAGTAAGAGCACCTAAAGCTTTGGAGAGCTTCTCTTCAACCATTTCAAAGCTTCCTGCTTGGGCAGTGATGGCACGATCGTCAGCATAGATGAAACCCTCTGTCCCTTCTGACAGTGGCTGGTCATTTGTGTAAATGTTAACCATTGATGGAGCAAGCTGGTTTTCCCTGTAACAGGCAGTAAGAGCACCTAAAGCTTTGGAGCTTCTGTTCGATCATTTCAGAGCTCCCTGCTTGAGCGGTGATGGCACGATCGTCAGCATAGATGAAACTCTCCGTCCCTTCTGGCCGTGGCTGGTAAATGTTAAACATCGATGGTGCAATCTGGTTTTCCCTGTAATAGGCAGTAAAAGCACCTAAAGCTTTGGAGAGCTTCTCTTCAACCATTTCAAAGCTCCCCACTTGGGCAGTGATGGCATGATTGTCAGCATAGATGAAACTCTCTGACCCTTCTGGCAGTGCCTGTTGTTATTATAAGACCGTTTTTAAAAAATCAGATATAATATAAACAAGCCCTGCTATCAGCCCCAAAGAGCATGGAATCTAGAGAGTTGTAGTGCGAGTACATCTATGAGGCATCATTTCGGAAAAGAAAGCATGTGTGAGGATGAGTTATTTCCTGCAGAATAGTTTCTTCTGTAGCTCACTCTTGGTACATTCTGATCCAAATGATGGCTTTCGTCGTGACTGACTGCTCAGGCAAAACCAGCCTGCATCAACACTGCTAAATTTGGGGCAGACTCAAATACTGATGGATTGTTTAGCACAAATACTCAATATGCCCAAATGTGAACACTGGTGGAGTTTGGGGGAAATAGACCTTGACATTTGGGAGTTTAGGTTGCTGGGATTTAAAGTTCACCTATAGTGAAAGAGCATTCTCAACCCCACCAGCGATGGAATTGAATCAATCTTGGCGCACAGAACTCCCATGACCAACAGAAAATACTGGAAGGGTTTGGTGGGCATTGACCTTGAGTTTGGGAGTTGTAGTTCACCTACATCCAGAGAGCACTGTGGACTCAAACAATGATCGATCTGGACCAAACTTGGCATGAATACTCACTATAATGAAACATGAACACTGGTGGG